TTTAAACTTATCCATCTTAAGACTCTTAAGGTTATTCATTCATTTATTTGTATTTATTCCTTCTATCATCATGTGAATGACATCCCAGATAAACAAAACTGTTATATTGTACAATGTTCAATATTATTTATCATACACAAGTTTATAAAATGTCATTCAAATTCTTATGACAAATAAATGGTAAATATATTTGTTATAAACAAATTAGTTTAGTATATTCCCACATTACATCTATGAAATTAGTTCTGTGTATTGTGTCTGTCATGTGCATGTAACCCTAGGCATTCTCCTTTAGCTGTTATATTATTAAACCTTAAAGGTCAGCGGTTTTTCTCACTCGTAAATTCCCTCAGCTGTGTGTGTGATAAGCGTACGTCAGACTTCACATAACAAAGTCAAACTACCATGATTACTACAGCTTTTATGAAAAATCAGTGCCGTGATTTCAAATCAGAAACTACCGATTCCTCGGCTCAAATAATTTTCTTTCATGTGGCATCTAGTGTCTTTGCATTTCAAATATTTGTGAAAGCGAAATGTAAATAATTCTGACAACTCATGAAAACGATTAGTTGATGATGATTAAGTTGTTTATTTACTCCTCAATGTTAATGGAAAGGCATAAATTAATTTTTTACTATACAGTTGAACTTCATTGGGCTACTAGATATTACGAAGTGCTATATGAATGTTTTAGTCAGTGTGTATTTTCTATTCTAAGATTTTTGAACTTGTTTACTAAAATATGGCACTTTACTAAGTGACTTTCAAGGGATATGTCATCTTCTTAGTTTAACAGCCATACTGTAAACAATTCATTCCACACTAGTGTAGTCTGATGCAGATTGATAGGAAATCAATATTTTAATTCAATGAATGCAGAGGTAGAAGTGTCTATTCCCCTAAATCTGAATTTAGTTTACCTTGTGAACATGAAATAATCTAATTGGACAACTTGTTTAACCTTGGGCCAATTATCAACCAATCAGAACAGTTAATTCTCCTATGACCTAACAGAAATATAATGCGTTTGAGAACGTATAAATATGATGTGTTTAGCCTTAATAAAAAAGTCCGTTACCAAGTCTCTTATTTTCTCTTGTGACATTTAGTAATAAAATCAGAAACACCACATCATAGTTACATTTCAATTCGCATTTCCTTCTAAATTTCCAATACACCTTCGTCGACTGAAGAACAGTCTTCGTTTACTATCGAATCGTAGATTTTAGATTCTCACACCACGGATTTACATGGATACAAAATAACACCAAGCGTGTGTTGAAGTGAACATTCTCAACTCCACCAAAACAGCCACGAATAGGTGAAAGACTTGCGCTTATTATGCTGTTTATCTTATTTCATTTTATATCTGTAACTTAAAAATAAATTTTATTTCTAAAAGCCACAATATACAGTCCAGATCAAACGAAATCTATGAAAAAAAGCGTTGTTTATGTGTATTCAATCTTTTTAAATGTTCACCTTTAAACACACGAACATTTAAATTTGTTACATTTCACAGAATTAACCACACAAAATTGAGTGTTCACATGAATTTCTACATCAAAGTATGATGAGTTCACACAATAATGTATACGAGTGAAACATTTACCGTTTGTAATGTGATGTTCCAGCAGTTGCTGTACATAACCTTAAGGTGTACAGCTATATTAATTATATGAGAGATAGACCAAGTCGACGTATTTTGTGCTTCTTAGATTTCGCCGGTAAGTTGTACCGTCGTTTTTAGAGAAACTCATTGTAACCACCAAAACCTAAGTATTTTAATCTGAACAGAGGAAACTAATCGATGCGTTCTTCTGTCTAACCGCCCAAACTTCCATGAGTGACTCACAGTCTTGAAAATTTCTTGCCGGTTGAAAAAAGATAGTTTTATTTGATAAAATCTGTGGTACTGTTTAATAGTAGTAGTAGTATATAAAAAACTCAAAATTACCTCAACAATGCCGATAGGCAGCTACACACTTCAAGACTTTCTCAGGTACAAAAAAATAAGTACTGTACAACAAAATTTGTTAATCAAAAAGCAACAGTAAGAAATACCTGAGAACCAAATAGAATATTTCACATATGATGGGAAAGAGACATTTTTGTCGGCAAGATTCAAACATACCAAACACGTTTCCTGCCGACAACTCGAGGTCAGGTAGTACTCAAAGCAACCTTGAACTCAGAAAATATATATATATATTTTCCTTCACGTTCCCCAGTGGAACATAGGGCTTCAAGCTTGTGGCTTGCAGTTTCTGTAGCAGTGTTTATTTTACAGGATGGGGTTGCTAGCCTCATGCCCAACCTTTCCTCTTCACCAGCATTATTTCTGGCTTAGCGATGTGAAGGAGTGCGTCTGTGGCCGGGGATCGAACCCCGGACCATGTGCATGGTCGGCGAGCGTCCTAACCGCTATGCCACTGACGCACTTGAACTCAAAATGGCAATCGTAAAACAACACGTTATGATCAACAGTCCACCAGCATCCAGTAGTAACATGAAACACTAAGAATAGAAATCATCTACAAACAAAGACCAGTAATAAGGATCAATTCAAAGAAGATATGTACATATTGGAACGGTGATCCACGGGTCAAAGGAAAAGTGGATAATATAATTACACAATTAGGTGAAATATTCAAATAAGCATTGATATTATAAAAAAGATTGTTCAGGAGGCATTTTTCGATCAATAGTTTCGCCACATTCATGTTTTTTCCTGCGACAAAACTCAGTATCACATAATCGTGAAATCAATGAGTTCATCATTCGGCTATTGTGAATATAGTGGACTTCAATTTTGCGGATAAACCCTAATGATGATTGCCAGTATGTAAATAACCCACGTTCAACATTAAACATTTTGGTTGAAATACATTAGTGACTACACTTCACACCACTTCTACACATTTCGGTCAACACACTTGAGTTTGGAGGGCTACGCAAATTTGTATGATTGACGAAGAATTTTCATAGTTCTTACGCACTTTTAATGAATTTGTTGTTATTAATTCTTTGTGAACTTATTTGCGTTCTCCTCAGTTTTTAATGTGCTGGTATTGAAAACGTTAATTTCTGATTTTCTTGAATTTACCTTTCGAACACGTGACTTGTCTTTGAAAAAATAAGGATCATGTTAAGCTTAAAGTAACGCTACTTCGTTTGAGAGTTGCACTCCACAGTAAGTCTATAATCCACCAATACGAAAAGTCTAGTTACTGAGATAGCTATACGTCTTCGACAGTAATTAAGATGTTCACGTTTCGTAAGCAAAACACTAGCACCAGTCCTTTATTTGTTTTATCCATATAATACTTTCCAGTAATGTTCTGCCTTTTGCATGGAAAAACATTAAAATTACCACCATACCAAAAACCATCTTCTGGTACTGATATTAAATTTAGGCATATTGCACTTACTTCTTTTTTATGATTGATGGAAAAATTACTTTCACCTCGTCTTGAACCTTCATTGAAACCTTTTAATGATCCTAAACAATTTGCATATAAACATGGTAGATGTACCTTGGATGCTGTGGTTCTCTTATATCATAATGTTGTTTCTTGTTCAGACAAAGGTGCCACATATGTTCGTGGTGCTTTTTTAGACTACACATCTGCTTTTGACTCTGTACCTAGGGGCCTTTTATTAAATAATCTTTCGTTGACGTTAACAGAATCCTGGGCTAAGAGTTGGTTGCATTCTTATTTTTCGGATAGAATGCAGTATACTGTATATGATGGCAAATCTTCTGCCTCACTTACAAAAGCCGGTGTTCCTCAAGGTGACGTGCTCTCTCCTTTTCTTTTTTCTTTCTTCCTACTTGACCTGCCTCATTTAAACGAAACTAACTTTTTCAAATATGCAGATGATCTGATTGTATCACTGCCTATCACTTCCGTTCTGACTGCTTCAAACTTAATAGCTTTCTGTTGGACATCAGCAAGTGGTCTAAGTCTTATGGTCTTATGTTAAATCCTTCCAAATGTTAGGCAGTTTACCTTCGAGCATTGACGTGACATATATGAACTAGTTAGTTCCCATGATGCCTGAAGCATAGCTGGCACTGAAATTGAAACCAAGTTAAGCATTAAATACCTTGGATTAGTTCTTTCCTCTGACCTTTCATGGTCATCCCACATCTTATCAATCTCTAAGAAAATGTTTCGTCTTACCTTCTACATTAAAAAGTTAAGACAATCAGGTATCAACCAACCTTTACTTCTACAGTTTGTAAACTTCTGTATTTTACCTATTGTACTATATTACTCTCCACTAATCTTTCTTGGGCTTCTCAAAAAGACTATGTCATATTACGAAAGGTATTAAATGCTGGGAGTAGGGCTTATGGTATGCCACTGCTTGAGCTCGCTTGAGACATATAAAATCCTGTACAAAATCGGCAAAGGCCATACTGTCAGACCCTCTGCACTCCCTTTATTCACAACTATCCCCTTGCATCTCATCAGGTAGGACGAGAAGTCAATATAAAAAGTTATATGCTCGCACCACTAAGTACAAAAATTCTAAAATACCGTATTTAGCCCTTACTTTATGTGATAAAGAGACTGTGTTAGACCTGAAACATATAAGTTACTATGTAATTAGCAAAGTGAATGGACCCTTTCATCGTTCATCTTCCTATAATTTTATGGTGTCAACCTTTCTATCATTTAATTATAACTTAGCTATTTTATTTTAGTTGCTATTACTATTATAACTACAATTTTATACTTTATGCATATTTTTCTCCTTATCGCAGAATGTAATTGCTACATAGCTGCTATAACAGCGTTTTGTTTTTTATTATTATGTAATTTTTATTTTTTGTCGCTTTGAGTAAATTAGATGCAATATTGTACTGAATGCTGTAAATTCCTTGCTGTATCATTAGTACTGTTTTTGGAATAAAGCAAAAATTATTATCATTATTATTAAATCATTACCATAACATTTAATTTAATTTTCTTTTTATACAAACTCAGGTTCTATTCATGGATCTAATAAAATTCTGTAAATGAAATATGGCTGCTCAAACTCTACCAATTACAAACAACTCTCCAGTTATTTCATTGAAATCTAATCAGGACAACTCGTAAGTTCTCCTTCTATTTATTCATGTAAAACACACTTAACTGTAAACATGAACCTTTATTTCACTTTTTTTTATTTTACTTATAAGATTGACATACAAATAGAGATTATATAAATCGTGCACTTAATTTTAAACATTTCATGTACACCAATGTGTTCAAGTAATTTAGTTTAAACTGTAAACAGTGAACTGTAGACAGAAAAACCGGAGTATATATTCACAATGGACAACAACACTGAATACTGTCAAGACTAATCAAAAACTAAATTCATTTAGAGAACCATTGAAAACCAGGGTGTACTGGACACTGGTGACTGAATACAGGATAAATTTACCTTCAGTTCTAGATAGAATTCATTGCCTACAGAGTCCACCAAGTTTTGTGTGGGGACTCGCTTATGGCACTGGCTAGTTGTCGTGCTATATATAACGAATCAATAGAAATTAAAAATGATGGGATATTGGATTCCGTCCCAGTGTCTGAATGACCTATGAACTCACTTTGTAACGTGAAGGTCCTAAGTCCGATCCCTGGTCAGGTCATGAGGTTATTCCACTGAAAATTACCAAACAAGAACAAACAGATATCCAGTACTCCTTAGCTTTCAGTGGTTCTGTAAGTGAAGTCAGTTCGCGAACAATCTTGAAATCAATCAAAGCCTGCATACTAATACTTGAAAATACTGAATAAAGTAGATTATAATATACGTAGATTTACTTCTGAAGGGAAAATTTTTTCTTCTGACACGTTTTTTCAATAGAATGTTCAAAAAAACTTTAATTTATAACAAATTACATCCATTTAAAGGCTTCATCTTCATTCAGTTATTGTTGTTATGGTAGCAGATTTGTGTTTCATTCATATCCACATGTTCTATAATAATAATTATGATTGTTTCCTTCAGTTCTTAGAGGAACATAGGGCTTCAGCCACACGTCTCCATTGCATTCGGTTCTCTGCCAACGTTTTCACCTGGCTCCACGTCTGCCCACAATCTTTCATCTCCTCTTCACACCACCTCCTCGTCTATGTCACCCTTGCACTGACGAGCAACTCGCCACTCCTCATTCGGGTTCCACTCGAGTGATGTACTGGCGTGGGATGATTTGTTTTCTCGGAGTATGGCCATTCCACCTCCATTTCCTCCTGCATATTTGTTGCGCAATTGATTCCTGGTTGGTTCGTTTATTGCCAGAGATCCTCGTTGCTGATCTTTTCTGGCCATCTTATCTTTAGTAGTATTGAGTGAAGACAGCTGTTGATGAAGATCTGTAGTTTGTTTGAAGTGCCGTTCGTGAGGTGGTGCCAAATCTCTGATCCGTATAGTAAGTAGCACTGACTTCACATTGGAGTTGATATCCGGATCTTATTTTTGATGCTGAGTGCTGTTGACCTCCACACAGACTTGAGAGTAATGAAAGCTTGCCTTGCATTCCCGATCCTTGCCTCGATGATATCCCGATCAGTTGAAACAATGCTTCCCAGGTAGGTAGGTAGGTGAAGTAGGTTGCTTCTTTCAGATTCATCTCACTTATGCTGATTGTTGTTTGTTGTCTGTTGCTTTTGGCCAGGAATCTCCATCGCCTCCGTCTTCTCTGTGTTCACCTGAAGTGAATTTTTACTTTTAATGCTTCTTCTGCCAAATTGTTGCTTTTCACTTGCATATCTTCCAGTTTGTGGGAAATCAGACATATATCATCGGCGAAGTCCAGATCCGCCAAGTTCTGTAATAGACAGTACCAATATTTGTTCATTAGTAAAGTCTTAAAATTTCTCAAGATAAGTTTTTACCAGGTAAAAATCATTACAACTTTATAAAGAGCATAGAACTGTACATCAGCGTGTAAACTATAGCTGTAGTCAATATATTTATTATTATTATGCTGACTTGATCGAGAGCATTTCGCCGTATGTTTCTCAATCAACTATTCTCACGGTAAAATCCAACAACTAAGTACTGGGACGATTACCCGTTGCTCCACTCGTAAATACTTCTCTTATCAATCTTACATTAATACTCCCACTTAGTGTACATGAAACTGGTAAATTCTTCATACACGAGTGTCTTAATACATAATATTCTCTATAGAACTTATTACACAACTAATAATAATAGTATATTTATTCCTGTCTATGCAGGAAATATATAGGGTCACTGTCGTAGCCAGCTAAAGTTCACTCCAAAATCTAAGGTGACTCAGTCAGCAAAGAGAACCCTGTAATATTGTAACTGGTTGTTTTGGTTATAGCAAACTTGAGCAAAATGAATTTTCAACTTTGTGAAAATTCATATTTTCTTTCCAAACTTGAAATTACTTTACTTTGTCCAAAAGCCAGCAATATTACAACGAAGCCGATTAGGCTTTACAGGACAGTATTAGAATTTCCCTCTGTATACCAGTTGATCACAAAAATGTTACCAATATGCATACTAATTTCTCTTTTTTGATAAGCATAGTCCATCCTTTCAGATTGCAGGTATTTGAAGCTGAAAGATAAACTAGTCACCTCTTTGTCTGACATACTCCCCCCCCCAAAAAAAAACAAAAATTACAGTTTGTGATGTCTCATAATTTATTCATAAAATATCGTAGCTCATTCATTTTAATACACTCGGCTTTGTATGGTTTGTTATGTCAATTTTCCGAACCTATTTTGGTTGATCACTGTCTCGCCGGTAAGCTTTACTGTTGTATCGTTCGCTAAACTTAATGTACCGTCTTCTTTTTAATTTCTTAGGGTGATGTGACCGCAGTAGCTATTATGAGATAGGCGTCTTATAAAAAATACATAACCACAGTTGTACCAGTCATTTATTCATTTATATATGAAGAATAACTGAAAGAGAAGTAAATAATTTATCACGTATAGTGGCTAACAGTTATTTATAGCTTATAATTTCCTTATCATAAGAAACTAATTGTATTAGTGGTCGAAGTCGACCTATGGAGAGTCGTTCATTTAGATTTCGTGTTTAGTAGCAACCACAATGGAAGTGTTTCTACTTCAGACATTCCAAATATCGTCATCAAGTTCCTTTGGTCCGCGTTTGACCTCTTCTAGGAAAGTGGTCGATACACAGATTAATAACTAGACAGAGGACAAATTCAGTAGTATAAAGTTCTATGCAAATATGTTTGCTTTCTTGATTACGACATATGGTATCAGGCAGATAACATCTAGTGGTCTGGATAACTTGGTTTCCAAAGGAAACAACAGTGAAATTTCACCTCTTGGACTGTGTAGATAGCAAATTGCTAAGCAATTTTCAAATTGTGAATTTGATGTACGGTATGATCAGTTCAACCAAATAAATGGCCAGAAATCGAGTTTTTTGAACTAATTCGGCTCTCTGAACTGAGTGAAACAGGGTAAACCGCCGATGAACTCAATCCTAAACAAGCGTAACCACCGTCCGGTGCTTAAATCACCTCAATCTGGCTGGCTAGCAAGCACTACCGGTTGATATGAGTGTGATATCCGACTACTCATCTCAACCAATCAGTAGTATATCGTTTTTTACACATTTTCTATGAAGCGAGTTGTCGGATGCCTATTACGTCAGAAAACATTATTTATCTTATTCAAGAAACTGAAAAATTAATGTTACCAATGGTCACAGAAAAAACGCAAACGAATTAAAATGTCAATTATTTATTGCCCTTTTTTTAAGTAAGTGCGATTATGACTTTGGGCGACGCTTAATCCCAGGTTTTTATAATCTTGTTTTAAATCACAGAATTAACGTTTCATGTGATGCAAATTTTCTTCCTTCTCTTGCTTTTGGTCGTCATACTATTTTGAATGCTCAGTCTGGAATTTTATAAGCATAAACCTTGAGATAAAAATTTTATTATCTTCTTAATTCGCCGTTACGTTAAATAGTCCAGTTTACGTACTTATATGTTCGTATAATAATGTTGTCATACCGATTAGGACTGCAACCTATTGAGTCAACTTCTTCAGAATTGTATTGCATTGAAGTAGTTCAGCCCTTATTCACACATAGTACACTTCAGGTTTAATCAATAAATTTGAACAATGAAAGAACAAACAAATTGATGCAGCATAGCATGGATCCATTTTATTCATTTTTCATTCGTTCTCATCAGCTGCATACAACCTATAGTCTTTAAAAAATAAAAGTCAGAGTAAAATTTAACATACTTTTGTCATCAACAAGCATATTGTAGGAGTGTCATGGTGAGGTAAAACATCCGGATGATAAGGTAGCTGAAGCGTAAGTATACATACACATTTCTTGTCAAAGAGAAGTTTCTTGAAAGTTAATTGACAAGTTTTTTGTTGGGATGCTAACAAAAAATTAGTAACAATAAGACAAGATCAAAATCTGGTGTACAAAAGATCAGATGAAATTATCTCTAATGGAAGTCAAACAGAAGAGACGAGGCAACGGAGTGAGGGGCATTGCAAAGACAAGTTGGTGAAGTTTGGAGACCAAGAGGTAGCAAGGGATGAGTCACCAGGGTAGTTGGAGTCCAATGACAGATTCCTTTTGGACACATACATCAGGTTTCAGCCATTTTATTGCGATAGCCTCAGTAAACCGAAGAAGACGTGAGCTGTTTTGTCTGTTAACTACTTTGAATGATGCCAGCGAGTCTAATCGCTGTCCAGTGTGTCTATCAGGTGTCTGGTAAGTGAAGAGTTTTAACTACTTGGTCCCTATAACCGGAAGCACCTTGGTACATGTTCGAAGAATCTGACGCAGGCCCTCCTTTCTGTTCTTCCAATGTAACTGCAGCTACAGATACATGTGAATTGATAATCAATAAGCTATGTGTGCATAAAGTTAACTTTTAACAAAACTTTGTGAATTCAGACGAATACTTCAAAGTTGTAATAAGACTGAAAGCATTGAAAATTATAATTTTTAAAGTCTAATCTCGTCAATTTATCCGTAGATAATCCATAAGTCAAGATTGTATAAATTCATATCATGAAAATCAGTTCTCCTCGCCTAAAAGTGGATGTTTGT